CAGGCTACAGTCCACAGGGTCACACAGAATAGGACACAACTAAAGCAAGCAACTTAGCATGCACGTACGCATAGAAGTCCCAAAGCAGGGTTCAAATTTCCCTGAGTCAAAGCCTTCAAATCAGTCTGAAACCAAGGGTCAGGGTTGTCCTTTATGGGTTTGGATGAAATCAATTTTCTTACAAACACTGTTTACTTCTCACTTCCCTTAGGGGTTTATAGGAATTAAAATTCCTATAATTATAAATAAAAATTATAGGGATTTCACTTATGATCTGTGATTTTTACCATTTTAGAAATTGTTCTTGAACTTGACCATGCAAAAGAATTACCTGGAGCAGTGTTTGTAAAACATAAATTACAAGACTCCTCACCTTGGTTCCCTTGTGGCTCAGCTGGTAAAGAATCTCCCTGCAATGCGGGAGACCTGGATTTGATCCCTGGGCTGGGAAGATCCCCTGGAGAAGGGAAAGGTACCCACTCCAGTATTCTGGCCAAGAGAATTCCATGGACTGTATGATCCATGGGGCCACAAAGAGTCGGACACGACTGAGCAACTTTCACTTTCACCTTGGTCACTGAATCCAAATTTCCTGGAATGAGACCTGGGCATTTATATTTTTCAAAAGCTTCCCAGGTGATCCTAATGCCTAGATTTAATAATTTAGTTACATTTTCCCCTCCCTCCCTCTCTCCTTCCCTCTGTTTTTCCTGTCCTCTTTGTGGGCTGCCCTCAAGACCCAAGCACCACATATTATAGTTTTAAAAGACAGACATCTCAGTTCCAAGCCACCACCAATTTACAAATAGCATTTTGGAAGAAAACATGTCTGTTAATCTGGAACTGCCTGTATAGTTACTGGCGCTGTAAAGGGTTTTCAAATCAGAATTAGAAAGGTGGTTATGTTCTCTCTTCTTGAAGATATATCTAGTGAAACAGACATATGTCTAAGTGCAAATTCTCATGCTTTATTTTAAGTCTTCATCATATTCAGAATGGCCCAGACATAAGAATTCAGATGTGACCTAAATTCTACATACACATCAAGTTCTGAGTTAGGTTGCGACCATTATCTTCTCTTGTTCTAAACTAACTGAGCCTATTTCCCTTCATCTCTCCTTGTAGGCACCATCAGGTTCTTCAAGCTACTCTGAATTCACCAAGAGGAACTAACACACCTTCAGAGTACAAATGTGCTAATATACTTTATTATATTCATATTATATATTAATACAGTTCGAAAAGAATTCATATATCTCTTTAGGAAAATCTAATTTGTTGCTAGGGGTGAACTTAGACGAGTGGACCCAAATGTTAAGATCTACAAATTAATGTTCTCTTTCAAACAAAGAAACTTTCCTTTAGAATTCTCTTATTTGGTGGTTCTGCAGAGAGTTTCCAGGATTCCTATTATGTAAAGATCAGATCTGACTTCAAAGCCACTCATATTTTCCTTTATTCTCCTCCCTTTCCTCTGAATTCCTGAGTTATTTTAGTTCATCCCCTTTCACATTCATTTGCTTTTCTGTACTTTTCCTCTTGCTGACCAGTTTTCCCTCATGTTTGCAGTTTTCAATGAAATAATCATGCCTCTGGAAGACTGAAGGATGAGTCCCCATTTTCACCCCTTCCTGTATCTGTACTCTTTGCCCCATAATTCTGAGTTCCTTCTACTAAAGGCTGGCTGTCCATCTCCTCCCCTGGGTTTGGGGATGAACCATCCACCCACCTTGGCTAATGGCTCATGGGCAGTTCTGAGCCTATGCATTGTTGCCTGTTCAGCCCCTCTGCACCTCTGCCATCGCCATAAAAGGAAATTGTCATGATTAGTTCATTTGTGCAAGGAAAGTATGAGCAGACTCATCCAACCTACAGCTTAGAGTCACTTAGCCAAGGTCAGCTAAAATGAGCAAAGCCAGGCTAACCAATCCACACAGACTCTGTAAAACTGGAGGATGCTTCTGTTTACAGTGAGCCTTTAAAGCAGTTCAAGGGATTAAGAATGTGAGAGAGAACCAGTGTTTGACTTCAGGGAAGTGCCAGGTGACTGAATATCCTTTAAGGGAGGAGCAGGGGGAAAGCGCTTTTCTTTCTTCTCTTGGGACTGGAGCTTAGCGATGCTAAACCCCATACAAGACAGAAGATGTAGGGAAGATGAAGGGAAGCAGAAACTGACATCTAGGGTAGGGGGAAGCTCCTTCCACAAGAGGCCCTAAGGAGGAAATGATGCCATTGGCAGCACTGTTCCTACAGAAAAGCAGCTCCAGGGACCACAGCTCATCCCCCAGCGAATGGCCAATGTCCGTCTGCCGATGTCCAGCAAAGCCATGATTATGGCAGAAAGAAATAGCCCCTGGATCCAGGCCTAAGCACCCCACTCCTAGCCCCTTAGTCTGTTAGGATTTCTTTCCTTCTGGCTTGGGAATCTCTCTCAAATGGCCTTCCAGGAGATTGCATGCATTGAATGAGTTCTTTCCTTACTCAAAAGATGAAAAGAGATTTTCTTTTCTTTTTTTTTTTGGAGTATGGTCATGCTCACCTGAACAACAAACCAGCACTTCACTCTTATATCTCACCCCAATGATTAATTTAGCCTAAACTGAGCCTTGATTTAAGACTCTACTTCCACATGTAATGGCTCATCTGACAGGTGAGAGTTACTACCTACTGGGCCAGAACCATAATATATTTGTATTCAAGTCAAAGTGAAACTGCCAGTGTGGCTGAAGACCACGTTTTCTGATGCCAATTAAGAAAAGTAGAAAAGGTCATAGAACTAGTTTTATCCTACTTTCCAAATCCTGTCTGCCTTCCATCTGTAATAACACCTACTACATGAAATGAATGTACATGACAAGCTCAGTGAGAAAAGACATCCGGGTTTTAAAAAATGATTTTTAAATCAGATTTTTTGCCCATCTGTGTGTACCCTGTCTCCCTCCACTTCAGAGGGGGCCTGCAATTTTCATCTTTGTTTCTTCATCCTGCCTGGAACTCCTCAGGAGTATAATGCTGTCCCATGTGACCCTGAACCACAGTTCTTGCTGTGACTAGACTGTACCTAAGTCACTGGTTCCTAGGGTTTTGCCAGCTTGGACTGAAGAGTAACCTCCCAGGCTCCCTCTGCCAGGCAGTTCCCCTGATGTGGTGCACCCAGCCCCAATCCTTTCATTCAGCAAACTATGGGGCATCTACTTGGTGCCAGACCCATCTGTCCTGATTACGTGAAACCAGCAAGAAAGAGACAGGAAATGGACTAGAGCTTCTAACAAGAGTAAAGACCAAGAGATGCTATATGGTCTCAACTGTCATTGCAGCTGAAAGCACCATGGACTTGCCACTTTGAGACTTAAAAACAAACCTCCTATAAAACCATTTCTCAAAAGAAAGAAAAAAAAATTTTCTCAGAGCTGTCTTTTCCTCTCCAACTTACTGTCACTGTTTCCCATTATTCATGGCTCCCTCATCTTGTCTAAGATGAAGCCAGCTGAGCCACTTTTGAGGTGAGGCAATCCCCAAAGCTCAGGACTCTGGGCCACTCATTCTGCCCCTTCCCCTTCCTATCTTCTGGGCTTCTAACACGAAGAAGTCCTTTTTTTCCCCCTGGGATCCTGGAGGTACTTGTCCTCACAAGCTTGAGGTCAGCATTCACATAATTAAAATTTCTTCTTCTTCTTTTATACACACACACACACACACCCCCACACACACACACATATATATTTAAATAATTAGGTTGGTCAGAAAGTTCATTTGGGTTTTTCTGTAACATTTTATGGCAAAACCCAAATGAATTTTTCAGCCAATCCTACACATACACACAGAGACATATATATGTTAATACATAATTTAGCCTTTCCAATATTACATATATATGTACATATAATACTTAGCTTTTATCCTTTATATTTTAAGAAATATGTGCTTGTGTGTGTATATGTATGTACACACACACACACACACACACACACATCTCATATAAACTTTTTCTTAGCAGGTTTCCCCCACAAGCAAAGCTTGGCCAAGCTGCTCCAAGAACTCTTCAAGGACAAGGGGCACTGGGGCTCCAGGAAAGCAGGGAGATGGCCTAGGGGCCTTACAGTCAGTCTGCTTCTCCCTTTGGTGATGCTGTTGGGGTCCCCAGGGTATTCTCAGCAGCTTCATGCACTCTTGAGTACAAATGACTGGAAGCAAATTAGCTATTACTCTTTGTATTTTAAAAGAGTTCAAAAACCCCAGGAGAAAGAGATGACACTCTCCAGGATGAGATTTCCGGCAGAATTTGGGGGATGAGTTGGAGATGCAGATTTTGTTCCAAGGCACCTCCACTCACCATCTTCCGCACCATCTCACATCTCTGGCCGGATGCCCTGGGACCTGCTGTGGCTAAAATTCCCAGATGGAAACCTCTATTTGTCTTGCTTCTGTATGAGTCTGGCTAGACACCGGACATATAGGAAGGTCACTTATCTCCTAGACTGAAATGTTCAGAACCTGCTTGAGGACCACAGAGCACCCTCTGCAGCACTGAAACCACAGAATACTTAGTGAATCTTTCAGCGCACAGGCACACAGCCTTCAGAGGGACCCTCAGTGTCCATTCCAAGAGACCCTTGGCTATAGATGTCCCACTTCAAGTTGATCAAATGTAGTAAATTTGGCGACAGACTAACAGCTAACAGCCTGAGCTCAAGAAGGAAAAAGGCAAGAGCGGACACAAGGGGGACATTTAGTGAAGGGGCAAGCTGCTCATCACACCTAGTTGGTCCATGAAGACATCACTAAACTATGTGACAGCGCAATAGGATACTTAGTCGTCAGAGTAAAAATTCTGGATCCTCTGGGAAAGTTTCAGCAGCAACAGTGCACATACTCTGTTTAGGAAGTAATTCTAAAGCTCTGGGAAACGGCGATGGCGTTCAGCAACGCCTCCTAGAGGAGAAGGGCAGTTACTGCACCGTAAAGCCACAGCCTGTGGCCCTGGACCGGAAACCACCTACCTCTGAATGTTATCTTCAAGCTGTTTGACTCTGAATTCATCCTCCTCAGACTGCCGCCTCCTGGCTTCCTCTTCTTCCGCGGTTCCAGCAGGTATACCCTGCAGCAGCCATTTTTCTCGAAGTACTTTAGACTGTGGGAATGAGAAAGAGGACGGACTGACGATACCTTTCAGTTCACACCGTCCTCTCCCCCCAAGGTCCTTCTGTCTCAGCTTCACCCCTCAGCAGTGGGCCCCACTTGCTCCTGCCCTATGTCCAGTGAGCCACCAGAAGGCTCGATTCCCGCATTTTCTATGATTAACAAGTTTGAAAACATACAGAAGAAACTAGACGATGCATTCCTGTGTAATTTCATGTGCATTTCACAATTATAAACATTTTGTCATATTTCCCCGTATATTCTTCCCACAGAAGCATTTTAAAGTAAATAACCAATATCAGGGCATGGGATTCCATTACTCCTCTGTCCAGGAAATTCTCCAGGCAAGAATACTGGAGTAGGTTATCATTTCCTCCTCCAGAGGATCTTCCCAACTCCGGGATTGAGCCTGGGTCTCCTGCATTGCAGGTGGATTCTTCACCATCTGAGCCAGCAGGGAAGCCCTTCCCACTGAAGCCTCTTAAATAACCAGCATCAGGACATTTCACCCATAAATATTTCAGTATGAGTCTCTAAAAAATAAGGACATTTCCTATGCAACTACAGATTGATTATAAAATCTCCCAAGAACACTTAATATCCAGTCCATCTTAATGCGTTCATTTTAAAAGATTAAAAAGTACTCCGTAAAAAAGTACTTAAAATTTATGGGGCATTGTTTAATAATATAAAATCAGGTGTGAAAGCTTGTGGTGCAATTTGTATATGCTGGTGGCTGTCTTGCCGGCTGAGTTGTATCCCCCTAGGGGACAGGATGAGGGGATCTAACAGAACAAGACCGTGGGCCTGTCTCAGGGAACTCGGTTTTCCAGAGGTGTTCTGACATTACAAGTTCCTTTATGCCATGTACCCTGCCTGCCTGGTCAATATTTTCAAATTTGAACTTGGCTTTTCACACAGACTAAAAACCAAGAAAAGTCTAAAATTAGTTTGAATGGTTCACAATTGTGAGAGACACAATGGTAATGTCTTTGCAAGCAAGGCTCCTGATACCTTCAGGCTTCTCAGCAAATGACCTTGGAGTGTTGATAATAAACATCTCACAGGGTCTCAAGTCCGTCTTTGTTTTTTCGTTCAGTCTTCTGGAGAGAAAAGGCTGTGGCTTTTTAAACATAAAAAATATGGTTTTTCATGGCTTGGATTTAGAAGAAAACTCTAGTCAGTGTTCCTGCTCATGAATAAATAATTCAAAGGCAGCTTACGTGCTGAAGATGTGGTTATAAGCAACTGGATGCTGACCCTGCTGGTGTGCCATACAAACCTTTATAAATGGGACAGTCCCAAAAGGATTCACGTGGCAATCTGTACTGAGGGCTTGCTGTTGCTGGGACCTCGACATGACCAATGAAATAGACAAATCTCAGGCAATTCAACCAAGGGGCAAAGGGAATATTAAATTCAGTCTGTCTGGTACAATCCAATACTTCATTTACTGTTTTAAACTCACATGATCATGAGTTACATAATAAAAACAATAAAAATAAGTAATTGTGTCCATGGAGTTAAAAGCCAAGACAATTTTCCAAAAGAAGAATAGTGATGGCTCTTGCTGCATGAAATATTATCATATATTAAATGGCTAGAGGGATTAAAGAGAATGAAATTAACACAGGAATGGCAGATTAATGGAATAAAAAGAATTCACAAATGGCAGACTTGAGTGTAAGTGAGAAATATGTATATGACAAAGAAGACATTTAAATCTGTGGGGAAAAAATTAATTGATAAATCATGTTGAGGCCACCGCTTCAACCATCACTGAAAAGTAAAGTTATTCCTATCTTGTTCCTTATAGGAAAATATATGCTAGATTTTAATCGACAAACTACTGAAGCAGAAGAATCATCATAGGTTAAGTGTTCAAGATGGAAATGTTCTTTCCAAGGTCAACATCAAGGTCAGAAATCGTAAAGTGAATGTTAGATGTGAGTTCATGCAAATTATAAACTTTTGTAGGAGAACTTCAAAGAACCCATATACAAAAATCAAAACAGAGATCAAAGCTAATGTATTTTGGATACTAATGTTAATGTAATTTCATTTTACTCTCAGGCTGATGAGGCCTATAGTAAGGGTTCCATATCTTATTCTATAAAAATATACTGGGTCATATCTGGGTGGTAAGCAGATAATTGATAAGTTTTTGCTTTATATTTTCCTGTACTTTTAAATTTCACTCTTGAGATGATTACACACTTCTTCTTTTATAATTAGGAAAAAGAATACATCTATTAAAATTGCTTGCTGGTCCCATACATGAGCATTTTTTAGAAATTCTTAACCACAAATATTAGATACTCAATAAATCTAAGGATCTTATAAAAAGAGATCTGAGTTTAATTTGGCCAGGACCTCAAGGTACCTGGAGGTTTCCTAATCAGTGGGTTGCAGCAGCTAATATTTCAACACCTCCTTCATTGCCTTATAGAATTTGCTTGTCACTCATATAGAAAGTAATGATATTTCATATTGTGGAGTTACTATATAGCCCTAACTATTGCAATTAACAAGTATATTAATCAAATATACATGTATCAACATGATTGCCTTGCATTCTATTTATTTGCTTTGACAAGAGACCAGTGAATGTCTAAATAATTCTATTTCATGGCATAAGAATAAGCATCCAAAGACTTTGATAATGAGAATTATATATTAATAAAAATGAAATCAAATTCTAATGTTTTTCCACTTAAATTTGCACTGAGATTATTTTTTTTTCCTAAGAGGATATCTGGGATTTTGAAAAATGGTAAAATAAATAGTAATTACTGACCTATTTTCTACTTCAAGAAACTACCAATCATCACTGCAGCATATCTCCACATGGTCCAAACTTTCCGGAGCCCATGAAAATATATTTAGAGTAAAAGAGACACTGAGAAGCACAACTGACGTCTCTCTAGACAAATCATTTCATTTGAAGAAAACAGTCTCCTGGGGAAAGCATGATTATGGAGACAGTCCTGGGGTTCAACTGAGCTCCCCCACTTAGAGTTTCTATGCTCTTGGGCAAGCTACTTGATCTCACCAGTTTGTTTTCTCACGTAACCCAGGGGGAGTAGTATCTACTTTGGTGTCATTATTGAGGGGATTTATTTAAAGTATCACAGACACATTAGGCATTGAAAAAAATGATGACTATTATTAAAAAAAAATCTTTATTGAATTTGTTACAATATTGCTTCTGTTTTATGCTGGGGTTTTTTTTTTTTTTTGGCCTCGAGTCATGTGGGATCCCAGGAATCAAACCTGCACCCCTGCCTTAGAAGGTAAAGTCTTAAAGACTGGACTACCAGGGAAGTCCCAGTGATGACTATTCTTGAGTAGTCACCATTGATGATGGACAAAGGGATGATGTGGCTGCTGCGTTGCCCACAGGATGCTGGCTGGATCTCCACCAAGAGCCCAGGGGGAACTATAACCTCAATGAATGTACTACCATCCAGGGGTGAGGCTGCCAAGCTCCAAAATGAGCCATCACAGGGAAGGTGACTCATGCTATGTAAGGTCAGTCCACAGTTAACTGATTTAAAGTAGAAGTTATTCCTTTCTGGTGCCTGCAGTGATCATCTCTCTCAGTCAGGCACCACCTTCCTCATAGTAAAATGACTCCATTATTTTGGGGAGGATGGACCAGGAACAAAGAAAGGCAGTCATGAAGCAGGTTCCAGCTGTGTTGCAGTGAGGCTAGTCACTGTCCTCACCCAGTCTCACCAGGGCACAGAAACTCGAGACCTCCCAGAGCTGGCATCTCCCTCCAGTGTAACACCTGATGATCCACACCGGAGATCTCTGAGCTTTCTCTTTTTGTTGTTCAAGGCTAGTGGTCCACTCCCACTCTGTCTATAGAGGTTTTCCCCAGTAAGAGAAAATTATAGTGCATTGGTCTCTCCATCATTAAATTTCTATCATTTCCAATCCTTTCTCCCCAAATACGGGCAAGGTAACCTTGGTGAAAGTGCCATGTATTTCCTCAAATAGTCAATCTCATCAACTGTGTGAGAATTTGACCAGGATAACCACAGAGAACTATCTTATTCCCTTGTCTCCAAGTCTTTGCAGGAATCTCACTGCTTTCCTATGCAATACTAAATCATTTGTACTGTTATTTTTATTGATTGGATGAATGGGTGGATGGATAACAGACAGATGAAATATGAAATAAACACTGCAACATTGGAATGGATCAGCAATGAATGAATCCTTAGTATCTTATTTGACACCCAGAAAGATGGGAAGTGAGACAAAAGAAACTTGATCTTCTGACATATGTTTATTGCCTGACTTTTGATTCAAGGAATGCAGATGCAAAGAACTTCACTGAGCTGAAAGAGGAGAGAATCTGTCTAGTCAAAAACATCCTCTCATTCTTTCAGTATTCTTATTCAAAAGTTCACCTCTGAAGCAAGAATTCACTGAGGTTTAGTAAATTTTGGTCTCTTATCAGGTGTGAGTTGACTGTACTCTGAGCCAGAGACCCAGCTCTGTCCAGATTGACCTTGAACAATTCACTTGGTTCTATGAAGTAAGCTTAAGCCACACCTCTCTGTAAAAAGAAGATGCTAACTTTGGCCCCCAGCCCTCCCTGAGGAACGTGGTAAGGAAAAAAAAGTGGCATACAGCATAGATGCAAAGCTTCCTACAAGGAAAGGTCCATAAATGGATTCACATGATAAGCAGTAAGAGAGAAAAAGGCAATTTTCACTATCGTGCTTTTCTTCCTTTTAAACACTTTTCTCTAGTTCAAGTTAACGGTGAACTGATAAATATGGGAAGCAGATTTAGGTCATGTTGCTATTTAAAATCATGTTGCTGATGATTTCATTCTGAGGATTCATTTAGCACAACCTTGTCTTCTAGAAAAGAATGGGAAATGCAACTGTAAAGGTTCCTCTTGCTAAAAAAAAAAAAAAAAAAAGAAATCCAAATAATCCACATCTAGCATCACCCAGAGAGTCAGCCCCACCTTCCCAACTAGCCCTCTGAGCGATCCAATTTCTCTACGTGCAATGTCATGGCAACTTGGGGTGAGCAGGAGAAGCCTTTTCTCAAAAAGCCAGGGGCAGTGAAAAGCCAGCAGCACCACCCCACTGGCCACTGGTCACACTATTCTCTGAGCCTGCAGAAAGCAACATTCTGCAGCCGGTGGAGTCCCTGTGACAGTGATAGAGCTTTCTCCTGGGCTGCCATCAATTATAATGCTTAAGTGCATTATGTTTTAAAGAAAAATAAATAAATAAGCATCTCTCTCTTCCCCGTGGTGCAATGAAAACCAACCAAGTCAAATCATTTCAATACTATCTTTTGACAGTGCTCTAACAGGACACTTTGAAAACTATTAAAGTAGAGATAAAACACATACATAATCCGGCATGCACAGCATTGCTCTTTTACCAGACCACACTGCTCTGATCTCCCTCTCCTCCATATCAAGAAAGAAAAGATTGATATTTTGAATTTAATAAAGAGCACTATGTTAAATGTATCTTTGAGAACCTCTGCACGCATGCACACACACATACAGCACCTATGGATTAGAGATATAGCCCCGGAACTCTGCCTCACCCACCATGTGGAAATTCTCCTCCAATTTCTATATATAACCACCACAGTTCAGAGGCACACCCCCCCCCCAAACCCATCCACAGGCATCCTATCATCTCATCAGGCTTGCAGAAATTGGAACGCTGTGTAACAATGCCCTGAATTTGAGAAATTCACAAGAACAGCCCAGGGATGGTTTCCTGACTGAATGAAAAAGGGCTGGGGCAGCCCTCGGCAGCGCCTTCACCCAGGGCAGGCTCTGCCCGGCTCTCTGGCGTGTGATCTGCATGTCTAATAACAGACAGGTTCGAGGGATCAGCTGCTTACCTTGGAATGCTGCAGCAGAAGTATCTGCTCGTCCAGCTCTTGGCGCTTGCCTTCTATCTCCGTCTGCCTCTTTCTTTTTTCCTTGAAAATAAAAGAGAGAGAGAGGCTGTAAGAGTGGGTGGGTGTTGGCTCCGGGAATCTGACGGCAGGAAGCAGCAGCGGCTGTGCACATCTGCAGAGACCCTTCCAGAGATGCTGGGCGCACACCCTTGTCACCTGCCCCTCCGGGTCTGGGTGTGTTGCAAGCAGCAGCCTTCTCCTAACATGTCTGCTGTGGGCTCAGTGAGTGGGAGAATTCTCCTCACTCAGCCAAGCTGCAACAATTTAATCCAGAAGAAAGCAGCTTACACACACAGACACACACACACACACACACACACAGAGTCATGTTCTGTGCGGTGTTAATTTAGAGACAAAGAATAAAAATGTCTCAACTGTGAAGATTAGAGGTTGTTCTCAACTGCAAAGATGAGAGAATAAAACCGTGGGAAATTCTGGGCTTAGATTCCTGTTATCGAAACCCTACATATAAATAATGCCATGCAATTTCAAATTTTGTAGGACAAATCATCCAGCTGGACTGACCAAACAATGCAAATTAGATGGGTGGTCTTTGTTTAAGCTCCTCTTGGAGGGAGCATTTCATGTGGGCAAAGGCTCATTCAGGTTATGGTCAATGTGAAGTCTGGACTTGGGCTGCCTGGGTCCAATTCCCAGCTTTTCTATTTGTTACCTGTGTGACCTCGGACAAGTTCTTTTACCTCCCTAGGTCTAAGTCTTTTCTGGAATAAAGAGAAGATAAGAACTGTACCTAAACCATATAGCTGGAGCACTGATAATGATACATGTACAGGACATAGAACAGTGACTGGGCACATAGTAAATGCTCAATAAATATTATTTGCCATTACACTTACTGTCACATATTTACTTCTAGACAATGCCTAGAGATGGCTTTTTAAAAGAATGTATTTCCCTTGTATTCAGAGCACAACTGTTTCACTGGAGTGTACACTTTGTATTTTTCTTCTCTATACATATCAAATAGAAACAATAAATATCACATAAAGGTGATTAGTTTCTATTCTTATAGAAAGGCCTGCCCTTATGATAGCTTACATGGTTAATATTTTGTCTCCAAAGTGCATAAGGGTGTGGTTTACTGACACATTTACTGCACTAGACTATTTCCTTTTATTCACATAAGCAGGGGGAAACTTGTTAGACAAGATATAATTGCGTTTTACACAACAGCCACATCCTGAAGAAGACAAAAATGTAAAAGCCTGGTTGTCCTGCTCTGTGTGAAGGGAACCTTTAATTTCATGCAATTGCTATGTTTCTGTGGATGTGCTTGTACCACTGCTGTTCAAATCAACACAGCAATAATTTGTTATAACCAAGTTCTTCTGTGTAATGCACAGACTTTGAAGAAATAGTAGTTTATAATTTCAAGCCACTGGGACATAATATCCAAGTCAGAGACATAATCTCCTGTGAGACCTGAGAACATTCTAGGAACTTATTATTTACCAAAGAACTCCAATCCATGGTGCATCATCGATGCTGCTTAATCCCAGAGGACATCCAAGAATACACAATATGTGGAGGTAGATGAGAAAAGACCAATGATAAGAACCCACCTGTCCAGCATCTCAAAGGTACTACATGATCAAGCAAAGACGTCTAGAACCACTAGCTCTATATTCCAGGATTTCTCAAGAGTAAGTTTACTGGACTTTATCTTTCATTCCCATGGGCTATCAAGGTATATTTGCATACATCCACGCTCAGTCACTCAGGTGTGGCCAATGCTTGGCAACCCCATGGACTGTAGCCCGCCAGGCTCCTCTGTCCATGGGATTATCAGGGCAAGAATTCTGAAGTGGGCTGCCATCAGAAGTTGCCATTAATAAGCCCATGTGCCAAAACTACTGAAGCCCATGAGTCCTAGAGCCCATGTTCCACAACAAGAGAAGCCACTGCAATGAGAAGCCCACACACCACAGCTAGAGAGGAGCCCCCACTCCTGCAACTAGAGAAAAGCCCGCACGGCAACGAAGACCCAGCGCATCCAAAAATAAAATAATAATAATAAACACATGTTAACTGAGTGCTGTGTATGCTACAGACTGAATGTTTGCATTCTCCCCCCAAATTCCTATATTGAAACTTAACCCCCAAGGTGATGATGGTATTAGGAGGTGGGACCTTTAGTAGGTGATTAGGTCATAAAGGTGGGGCTTGTGAATGGGGTCAGTGCTCTTACAAAGAGAACCCAGAGAGCTCTTTCATTCCTTCCTCTATGCAAAAACACACTGAGATGGGCTTCCTGTGAATCAGGGAGCAGACCCCCACTAAAGACCAAATCAATGGGTGCCTTGATCTTAGACTTCTAAGATTTCTTAGGGCTGTGAGTAAAAAAATTCTGTTGTTTATAAGCCACCCATTCTATGGCATTTCATTAGAGGAAACTGAATGGACAATGGGCTTCCCTGGTGGCTTAGATGGTAAAGAATCTGCCTGCAATGCAGGAGACCCAATCCCTGGGTTGGAAAGATCCCCTGGAGAGAGGAATGGCTACCCACTCCAGTATTCTTGCCTAGAGAATTCCATGGACAGAGGAGCCTGGTGGTGCTCTAATTACAGATCTGGTCATTTGCAAATCTTCCCTAGGCTTTCCCACCTCTGAGTCTTTGTTCATGTAAAGTTCTCACTGCAAGTTGCCATCCATCATATTGATGAACTATGTTTGAACAGAAGAAATATCACCAGATGGTACAGGCAGTGAACCTTAATATAGGTAGACTCACTAGTGGTCACTGTGAACAGATATGATCGTGAAAGATGCATGACTTTAAGTTAGTTCTTTAATGAATAAACCAAGGTAGGAATTAGGTAGGTACAGTGAATCAGCAGTACATTCCAGGGAATGTGTGAGCAGGGGTGAAACACATTGCATATTCCAGGGATATGGAAATAGAAAGGAAATAAAACTGAGGTGCAGGGCTTGCCTTTAGTAGAGACCTCTGAGACCTTGGATGCCAGGCCAAGAAGTTTGGATTTTATTATATGAACAATGTAACATCATTGTGGGTTCTAATCCAGAGAGTAATATGGTGAAATGACATTTTAGGAACACCATCTTGCACTAGTGTAAAGGATGGATTAATAGGGGTTAGAACACATTTCCTGTAAATGGCCACATAGCAAATATTTTAGCTACAAACAGTCCCTGTTGTAGCTACTCAATGCAGCCATTGCAGTGCAAAAATATCTGCAGACAATCTATAAATAAATGCACGTGTCTGTTCTAATGAGCCTTCATTGACAAACACAGGTGGTGGACCAGACTTAGCCCATGGTCATAGTTTCCTGACCTCTGGATGAGAAGATCATTAAATGTCTTAGGAAGATGTCTTACATTGTAAGTGGGAATGTACACTGGTGCAGCCACTATGGAAAATAGTCTGGAAGTTCCTCAAAAAACTAAAAATAGAGTTACCTTATGATCCAGTAATCCCGCTCCTGGGCATATATCCAGACAAAACTATAAGTTAAAAAGATACATGTCACCCCAGTGTTCATAGCAGCACTGTTTACAATAGTTAAGGCATGGAAACAATTTAAATGTCTATTGACAGATGAATGGATAAAGAAGATGGGGGGGGCGGTGTCTGTGCGTGTATGTGTGTGTATACGACTGACGTGACTTAGCAGCAGCAGCAGCATATATATATATATACATTATATATATACACATACACACAATGGAATACTTGTTTAGTTGCTAAGTTGTGTCCAACTCTTTGCAACCCATGGACTGTAGCCCACCAGGCTCCTCTGTCCATGGGATTTCCCTTCTTCAGGGAATCTTCCCAACCCAAGGACTGAACCTGCATCTTCTGCTGGCAGGCGGATTCTTTACCACTGAGCCACTTGGGAAGCCCCACAATGGAATACTACTCAGCCATGAAAAGGAATAAAACCTGGGTGAGCCTAGAGATCATACTAAGTGAAATAAGTCAGAACGAGAAAGAAAAATACCATATGATATCACTTATATGTGAGATGTTAAATATGACAAATGGATTTATTCACAAAACCGAGTCCAGACATAGACAACAGGCTTGTGGTTGCCTAGGGGGCCTGGGGAGGGGAAGGGATGGATTGCCAGGGTAGGGGAGTTTGGGATTAGCAGATGCAAACTATTACATATAGAATAGATAAACAAGGCTCTACTGTTTAGCACAGGGAACTATATTCAACATCCTGAGATAAACCATAATAGACAAGAATATGAAAAAGAATATATATATATAACCAAATAATTTTTCTGTACACCAGAAATTAATACAACACTGGAAATAAATTATACTTCAGCTAAAAAATTCAATTAAAAAACATTTTAGGAGGATGCTATATTCACCCTGGGGTACAGTGGAGATGGATAAACTAACAGGCCCATCCTAGCTCAAAGCTGTTTCAATCAGGTTGAAAAGTAAAGGACCAACACAGACAGAATTGATGAGGCTCAGGACTAATAGGATCTCGAGGCTGAGGCAAGGTGGTGTCTTGGCTTTGAGCCACACAGACAGTGCTGATGTAGGAATGGGTAACAGAGGGAAGGTGCTGCTTTCCCATCTATTACATATTCATATATTCCCTTTGGAAATTCTAGAAACCCAAGAGTTGTTAACATATACAACTGGGCATCAGCCTCTTCTCACCTGTGTTCTATTTGATGAAGACTCTGGGCTTGGTCCCATCACAAGAACACTTTTGCATCCATGACTGTTGTGGGGAGCCTTTGATGACCCCTTCCACAGAGATGGAGTTAGGTCTTGAAGTCACTCCCAACCGGACAAGAGGTAAGATGTACAACCTGCACGTGTGCAGATCAGACATGAGTCACAGCACAGCACGCCCAAGGAGGTCACTGCTGACTTCCTATTGCATGTTTGCTTGGGCCAGGCCATGCATCGCACCTGGCTAGCCCACTGCTTCCCAGACTTCTCCTTCCCTTAATCAAGGCAAAACCACTAGCTCTTGGGCCCTCTTCTCACTTCTTCTCAAATGTC